CCCAGCAGCTTCTACTGAAGCCTTCCGAGTAAACGGCCAGAACGCCAACACCTCCTCCTCATCTCCACCGCTCCCCAACTCCGGGGACTTCTGGCCGGGGACTTCGGGCGGCAGTATATGCCGTGAAGTTGTTTGCGGCCTGCCAGTAAACCCAAAGCAGAAGAAGAAGAAGTGACGTCAGCGGCTTCATTTGCCTAATCCTCCCTCAGGAACTAATTTCCGGTGTGAACGCGATCTGTACTAAGTTCATGAGAACTAAAGAGTTCTCAGGAACCTTTGTGGGAAAAGTACTTGGTGTGAACGCGCGTTATGTCTAAAAGGTGACCTACTGTGGTTGAAGCATACCAGATTTGTATTATTTAATAAAAGCTTTGTAAGTATTTCTTTCCTGGCGGTTTAAAGTGCTCGGATTGTCTTCTTGTTATCCTGATGTCTCCCTGTTTTCCAAAAGCAGCCGACACATCCCACATGAGTTCACGGAGCAACCAGTTATCTCTCTTTCTTAGGACTATTTACATGTTCGTGCATAAATGTATCTGCTCTTCCACTATATTTAGAAACAGAGGCATCAATATACACTACGAGGTTTTTGCTATATTATTTAATACTCTCACGAATCTGTGTTTTTGAGACTAAAGAAGGAAAAACATCAGTGTAGTGAATTCTACAGAGCCCAAGTGGCACTAAAATGTGACTCAGTCCTGCCACGGAAAACTGAATATCCGATACGCTGGATTCTGTTTAACAAGACTCATCTGTTGTCGGGTGTCACGGTTGGCGTTACAGTCTGACCTAAAGCAATGACCAGCAGGGGGAAGTGATCCGACACGTGACACGCAGACGCATGAAAGTAGCTTCAAAAAGCTTTACACATATCCAACTTTCTTAACTGACATTAAGACGTATTTCTAAGGCATCCAACATTGTGTGATCAGCCAAACATGCACACAAAATGCATATTTAAAGAGCGGTACAGGTAGCTTAATTTGAGATGTGTGTATTACAATGCCTAAAACTACAATTACACATATTTAAAGGGAAAATCTGAGTATTTTATTGAGTGTTTATAGCGGAGGTTTCTGGTTGTGTTTGACCATTTGTGGAGAGCCTGCAGTGTGTGTTTGCTGTAACGCTTTTATTTTGGGCTTCAGTCCTGACATACGACTCCAGCCGCAGCTCGACCTGAAGCTGCAGCTATAACAGGGCAGTGAGCGGAGCACAGCTGAACTGTGACTATACATGGTGCATGCACACACTAACGACAAACTCCTGAGCATTTGAGTTCATGCACATGTATACAAACACGTATCAAACTTTTCAAAACAATACATAAGAACATATTTCTCACTATGAACAGTACTCAATACATCAACATGTTTCGTATAGGCTCTGGATTAGTGATAAAATGCACTTTTTACAACCATGAAATCGATTTTAAAATAACTTAGTTGTCTCATAATAACAACAAAAACAATGTAATTGACACGCACTGAGACATGTAGACAAAATGCATGTTATTCCCCTCCAGCTCAAAAGCTAATAACAGCGTATTTTTGAGGTAATTTTGACAATTTTTTCGATGAATTATTTTATGGTCAAACATTACTAAACTTGCACCAAAACTGTGCAACAAATGGTGTCAACTAAGAAACTGCTGTAACGACATTTGAGAAATAATTGAGCAGAGGGCTGGCCTGCTCTGTTGTGATTGGTCAACCGCTCTGAGAAGCCCCGCCCCTTAGCCAATCATGTACAATGTGTGGGAGCGCTAGCCAATAGGAGCGAGAGTATTAGATAGTGATGTCACTATGTTCCGGAAGTAAACCAAGGAGTCCAATGGAGGGAACTCAGGGATTTTAGGCCTCACAGACCGTTTACATGCACACAAACCTATAGAGTGCATTACAGTAAAAGGGAAACAAGCGTAGCGTGAAGTGGAAGACGTTTAAAATCCAGACTCTCGATGTAACCCCGCCATTCTTAGCCCTACACGCCTAAACATGTATACACGTATGCACATACTGTAGGAGCATCTAAGGAGATAAAAGTGTATACATATAGATGTGTGTGCAAGTACGTATTGTATGTATGTATATTATGTATAACATAGTAAGCATTTAGTTTTACCCAGGATGACCCTGTCTGCTTTCATATTGTTTGTCTGTTCATTATTGTAACAAAAACCGGACCATTGACATGCACACAACCCTATACAACACAATAGAGTAAAAGGGAAACCCCCAACAAGCATAGCGTGAAGAGGACTAGTATCCCCTCCAGCACAAACAGCATAACAAACATCCCGACTCTCACCTGATCTGTTCCTTCCTCTTCTCGATGAGGTCCACAAACGCCCGGTCGAAGTACACCTCGTCGCGGTCGTTCCCAGCATGCTTCAGCTCGGCGGCCTCCACGTTCTGCTTGTGTCTGGGACTGGAGATGTGTCCGGCGTAATCCGTCAGGCTCGCCACCGTCACCTTACACACTCTGCACTCGTGTCCGCAGTCCCTGCAGGGGAGGGAGGGCGAGAGCGGACGATCAATCCTTCCTTCAGGCATTTTTGTTATCTTGTTTTAGTTCCTGCAGAGCGCGCAAATCGTTGCTTCCGACTCTACGTTTTTGTTACTTCAAAAAAAAAAAAATGTCTTAATATAAAACCAGAAGAGGAGAATACTCAACAATCCTTAGTGAAAACCGAATTCTTCTATTTGTCACAGATCAGGAGGTCGCTAACTTAGTAATTTTGTTCACAATAAAAATCTGTATCATCCTGATCCTGGGTTGATTTGTTCTTCAGAGGGCCATCGGTGGCGGGAGCGCGGCAGGAGAGGAAGGGCGGCTCGGCACCTCAACCTACTGCTGCTTCATGATGGTGTCGCTGCGCTCTGAGCCTCTGCAGGACGAAGTGTCTGTATCTGATCTCAGGATCCACCCCCCCCCCTCTCTCTCTCAGAGCAGCATGTGTTATTAACCCCCAGCCGGACCAATCCCACAGCCCAGCCTCTGCAACCGGAGCCTCCTGCAGCTGCTCTGTTCAGAAAAACCTCTCCCAAGTATGTCATCCTGTGATTCTGCGAGAGGCTCCGTTTTCTTTTTCAAATCTGTGTCATAGCAAGCTGCCATTTCTCTGACCTCTGGTGCAGTTGGCACCCTCTTCATCGGTCAGATAGTGTTACTGATATTTATTTGACTGGTTATTTCTCAGCTACGGCGATAGGAGTAATGCAGCCAGATTTAGTGATGATGGAATTGCAATTTGTCGACCTTACATAGAGCTGTAGCTACGTTCCTTTCCAGGACAAACATCGTCGTGCTCTCTAGTAAAAGTATATTCCTTGAATTGTAACCATGACTGTTGAATTTCAGTTTGATGTTTATTTTATTTATTTCATTGTCTTTTATTTATGCTCTTGTACTTGTGTTTTCTATCATTGTTAAAAGCCAAGAAAAGCCACAAGTACAATGTGATCTTTCTGTTTTGTTTCTCCATTATGTACAAACTTAACTCAATAAAAACATATATTAAAAAGTATATTCCTTGATAGTTTCTTGTACTTGCTGCTCACTGTTGTTTAAAGCTGCAATGATGATACATTTATCAACAATGTTGCTAGTTGATTAATAATATTAATATCCTGATTTTCTCTATTTTAACGACTAATAAAGTGAATATCTTTTGGGTTAAGGACTGACAAATCAAGACATTTGAAGACTTCACATTTGACTGACACACTGGGATGGAGGCATATTTTAGACCAAACCATAACTCGATTAAATTAGTTAACACTCAGTAGTTCAACTGGTAATCCTAAATGCATCTTGTACAAAAACAAGCATGTAAAAACAAAAGAAAATCTGCATTTAACGGGTGTAACGACTCTATAAAGTGGCAAATATTGGATTTTACACATTTAAAAAAAAAAGAATAATTTGAATTTAAAAAGATATATTTTTCTGGAAGGAGCATTTGACCCTAAAATCCAGAACAGGATAGAAAAAAACCCAAAATGGCCTCTTATCTTCTCCTTGAGCTAGACGGCACGGTGCAAAATTAACCAGCCGCAAATGACCCCCAAAAAGGCGCCATCTCTACATGCCAATGTTTATTTGAAATCGCAGTAACGTAGCAACGACTCGGCCTTCGTTCAGTGTTTGCTGCACACGTCCCTCCCTCTCAGAGACAGGCCGCATACTTCACTAATCTGCACGGCCGTCACGAGATAGCCAGTTGCCTCCTCTCGGTCATGCCCCTTGTTCCGGAGAGATTGTGTCTAAATATATTTGCCACAAGCGAGACAGCTGCCCATAAATCCAGCGGCTCGATAACTGAAACGAACACGTGCCTCGTGACCCAAATACAGTTAGACGAAACTCTTGATACTAAATCAAACCGTCTGAATTCAGTTTAAAGTAAAACTAAGAGGAAACGGAAAGGCAACATTGTAATACTCAAACTGGGGTTTAACAGTTTCTATAGAAATGTGGGTCACGATACATAATATGTGCATATTTTGCATTTTTGGAGAAACAACTCGCCTTCCTTTGAGCTTCTCCAGCTCTCGGTGGTGCAGCATGCTCCTCATGTGTTCATCCATCTCCTGCAGACACACAAACAGAATTAACTATTTATTTAAGGTATGCATACACTTTGACATGTCCTGCAGGTTTGCTTGATTAGCAAGGTGGAGCATTACACATTATAGGTGCCCAAGAGGAGGAGGTCATTTAGTGATTTCTGACTTCTCAGACAAATTGATGGACAAGATGTTTGCTTTAAGGGGAACATATTCTTATTTTTAAGCTAAACAAACACTTGAAATACTTACTTTTTGGAGAAAAAATGAACATGAATAGATTTTCGTTGGATAGCAATTGACAAATGCAAAAGGAATTTATAAAAAATTGAATAATAAAGATTATCTGTTAAACCTTTTATATTCATTTTGTCAGCTCGTGCCTGAGCTCCTGAATGTCTGAATTAAAATCATACAGTATTATTTACACATCAATATTGTATATATTGAAAGGCAAGATGTGTATTTAATTGGAAAGCTCTCCTTCTCTTTAAGTAAAAAAAAACCACTTAAAATACTTAAAGGGGTTCATACACTTTTTCACCAATGATTTCTCCAGGACCTTTACCTAATTTTCCATGACCAAAAAAATTACTCTTTCTCAGCGGGACCACATGGAACAGGAAAATAAGGTCTGCATGTGAAACATGTTGTGCCTATCTAAAACAAATTAAATGGTAGGCTTGCTAGCTTCTACACGCTAAAGCAACTAAAATCTCTCACCAGCAAAATACCTCGTCAGCTAAATGCCATTTTACGTTTCATTACTATACAGTATTTATTATCATAGTATTACTATTTTGGCGATTAGCTAAAATATGAATTATATTTGATGCAACTTTAGTTACATTTCCATGACTTTCCCAAAACTTTGGGAAAAATATTATTTTCCATAACTTTTCCAGGGCCTGGAATTAGCATTTTGAATTTCCATGACTTTTCCAGGTTTTTAATGACCGTAGGAACCCTGACTACAGTACAGTACGTTATTACTGCACAACATGTCCTGCAGATAGCCACATAAACAGCCATAGGCTAAAGATGGGGCAAGGTGCAGTGCAGGAAATGTGACGTCATCAACAACAAGTCGGCCATTTTTCAAGGATACCAATATACCCCAGTATTTCTGAAACGCCTCCATTGGACTCCTTTGTTTACTTCCAGAACACACTGATATCACCGTGTAACACTCTCCCTTCTATTGGCTAGGGTTGTAACACATGGTACGTGATAGGCTAAGGGGCGGGACATCTCTAAGCGGTTGACCAATAACAACAGAGCCGGCCAGCTAACCAATCAGAGCAGACTGGGCTCTGGTTTCAGACAGAGGGTGAAAAGAGGTGCTGCAGCACAGGCAGTATGAGACATTAAAGCATGGAGACATGTCCCAGTAGAGACACTAAATACAAATAGGAACCTGAACATGATACGTCTTCTATAAATGTATTGCCAGGTGTAGGCACAAACTCTAAACACCATATTCACCGACTGATAACAATGATCACAGTCAAATTGTCAAAATCATTTAATCATTCTTCTTTTAGTTCTTAAATGAAATGCTCCCTCTCCTGTCGAGAGCTGCTGTCGGTAAGGGCATTGAGACAAATGGTATTCATGTCAGATGCAAAACAGCTGACAGATGACCCGGTGAAAGCGGATATTGGCGTGCAGCAACACCTCCAATCAGATGAACCTCTTTACACAATGACTGCAGCCAAGAAAAAGTTCACGAGTGAAGTAGGGAGGCATAAGAGATGCTAACGCTTAGCTTCAGTGACACAAAGAGAAACACCCAAAGGGGCCTTTTATGTGGCGCACTCCAGACAAGTTTCACAGTGTTTCAGGAGCCAGGAGGAGCTGATACATGAGAACTGATGCAGTGACAGTGTACCGAGGTGGTCTGACACGAAAGTAAAACATGCTGGCTGACTTCCACACATTCCCCGCCTGTCAGGACGAGATCCACTCGCCCAGATTCCTGCTAAGTCAGCGCTTCATTCCCAAACCCCCACACACACACACACACACTGGTCTCAAGGCAGGATCGATGTTAGAGCCCATCCTCTCTTTCAACTGAGGGGAGAAGGTCAAATGCCTCAGAGGAACCGGGTTCCCAGGGCAAAGTGTCATGTCTTTAAATGTTCCTTTTTCAAAAGCTACAGCAGCTACAGTATGCACATTCTGCAAAACTGTTAAGTCGGTAGCTTTTATTCAACCTTAAAGCAATGTTTTGTAACTCAGTTTTAGCCTCACTATACAAACATATTCACACTTTGGTCTAGTCTGAATTTCCATTCAGCTGTATCAACACAGTTCATACAAAGAAAGAAAAACATGAATGAAAAGAGTACAAATGGAAAAGAAAACATCCAAGATTCTTCTTTAAGTTATGTACTCTTGTGAAGTACAGCTGTTCTTGATTGTCCTCTAGTGTAGGGCGCCACGATTTTGAAAAAAACTAATTTTGATTATTTTTTAACTAAAAGTGCAATTGCCATATATGTCACGATATTGGAAGGATTGATCATTCATGACTTATTACTTTCATCATCAAAAATTGTATTTGAACAAAAATGTAGCCTTTAACAAATAGTTTTCTTTCCGCAATTTAAATATTGCGATTTTGATTTAAAAAAGATTATTAATTGTGCAGCCCTGCAATTCAAATTCTCCCAGTGGGACAACAAAGATGAACTGCACTGAACACAGTAGCATTACAGTTAAAGTAACACACACACACACACACACACACACACACACACACACACACACACACACACACACACACACACACACACACACACACACACACACACACACACACACACACACACACTACACACACACACACACCACTACAACACACACACACACACACACACACACACACACACACACACACACACACACACACACACACACACACACACACACACACACACACACACACACACACACACACACACACACACACACACACACACACACACACACACACACACACACACACACACACACACACACACACACACACACACACACACACACACACACACACACACACACACACACACACACACACACACACACACACACACACACACACACACACACACACTCTCTCTCTCTCTCACACACACACACACACACACACACACACTCTTT